TGGTCAGGCTGGAGAAGGGAAGGCTGAGAGGGGATCCAGCAATCCACACAAATCTCCCCAGGGCTGTCACAGGACGGTGCCAGACTCTGCTCAGTGGTGCCAGAGAAAGGACAGGGAGCAATGGCCAAAAACTAAACCACAACAAGTTCCAGCCCAAGGTGAGCAAGAACTTCTTTCCATGGAGGGGCAGAGCCCTGGAGCAGCTGCCCAGGGAAGGGCTGGGGTCTCCCTCTGCAGAGCCATTCCAAACCCTCCTGGACACGGTCCCGTGTCACCTGCTCCAGGTGACCCTGCTGGGCAGGGGGCTGGACTGGATCATCTCCAGAGCTCCCCTCCAAGCCCAGCTGTTCTGGGGCTGAGATGTTTCTGCAGCACTCCCAGAGCCCCTCTGCTAATCAGGATTCCAAAGCCCAGCTCGTGGCTGGAGCATTTTTAGCCCTGAAACCCCACAGATGTGAACACAAAACCATAACCCAGGGGGACCAGGCAGCAGTGACTCACACACAGACTGTGCAGAGTTATTACATTTAAATGAAAAAAACCTAATAAAGAAGTCAAATATTTGAGCACAAGGAACACAATTATTCTCAACTTTCCTAAGTGTAACTGTCTGATGCCAAACCTGAATTTATTCCTTGCTATATTAGGCACCCACTGCTCCCTCACCTGCTGTGTCCTGCACACAAATCCCTGAGCTCGACAAGCTCTGCATCTCATCTCCTTCATCCCAAAAGCTCAACAGGATCAACAGGACACTTCATGGAATCCCTGGGGTTGGGAAAGCCCTCCCAGCCCATGGAGCCCACTCTGTGACTGTCCCATCCCCACCTTGTCCCCAGCCCAGAGCACCCAGTGCCACCTCCAGAAATTCCTTGGACACCTCCAGGGATGGGGATCCAACCCTCCCCGAGCAGCCCCTGCCACTGGAACCCAGGAATGTCCCAAATCAAACCCTGAGCACCCTTTAGCCCCTGCACCATTCCCTCCCCGGCCTGGCAGTGGCAGGGAAGACCTTCCGAGCTCAATCCTGGCTCATTATGTTAAATAAACAAGAACAGGAGCCGTAAAACTCTTGAGGAGCAAAGCAAATCTGACAAACAGCAGCTGTTCCTCCCTCCACGCTGAGCTCGGGATTCAAAAATTAAGCAATCATCAGCTCATTATGGCAGCCAGCAAAGCTCAGCCCGGGTGCAAACCCTGCAGGCAGTGGGAGACAACTGTGACTCCACAAATCCCCATCTGATCCCACTCCCCACTGCAGCCTTTCCATCACCCCGAGCTTTCCCTGGGCAAGGAAAACAGGGAATGGGAGTTTGGGAAGGGTGGCTGTGGGTGGGGGATGAACCCCCCCCCAATAACTCCAGGTAGGAGAAGCACAGAGGGGCCTTGGATAAGATCAGAGGGAATGGTTTGGGTTGGGAAGGAGCTGGAAAATCACCCAGTGCCACCCCTGCCATGGCAGGGACACCTCCCACTGTCCCAATGTCCAACCTGGCCTTGGGCACTGCCAGGGATCCAGGGGCAGCCACAGCAAAGCTGGGAATTCCATCCCCACCCTGCCAGGGAACAATTCCTGCCCCAAATCCCATCCAAATCTACCCATTGTCAGCTTAAAGCCATTCCCTGTGTCCTGTCCCTCCATGCCTTGTCCCCAGTCCCTCTCCAGCCCTGCCAGGGGCTCTGAGCCCTCCCTGGATCCTTCCCTTCTCCAGGTGAGCAACCCCAGCTCTCCCAGCTTTACCAACAATTATTTCCCATCAAAATAAGCCCTGCATTAATAAAAGAGAAGTTTAATATTTTCAGTGTCACAAAAAAAAAGGGCCATTATTTCTACAGTCCTTATTCCTCCATGCCAAGGAACACCTGCAGATGCACTAAGTAGCAGGAAAAAAGCCAAAAAAAAAAAAAAACAAAAAAACAAAACCACAAATATTTAAGTTTTGATCATTCAGTAATGGATAAACAAAACCAGATTTTTCTGCCAGCCCGACAATGGAAATTAAAAACCAAAATAAAAAAATAAAAAAATCAGCGTCCAACCAACCCGAGTGTTAAACACAAGCTCATTGTTCATTCACCTGGGAGTGGAACAATCCTTCGGTGAGGTCAAACACAAGAGCCTGTGCTCATTCCCAATTCCAGCTGCCTGCTGCTGGGAAAAGCCCACACAACACCTCCTGCAGCTCCTGTGAAGACGAATGCTGTCTGCAAACACCACTCTGCTGTGCCTTCCTGCAGGGCACACGAGCAGAAAGGTTGTTTACTTCTCATTTGATTCTTTTCTTCTGGAGAGGAGGATGTGATTTCCCCAAAGAGGGCAGGGAAGCAGGAAAATGAGCGAGCCTGGGCTGTGGGGGCAGCGATGAGCAGAGCTCCTGGAGCTGGGCTTCCTCATTAAACTTTCATCAAACCTTATCAAAGTTTCATCACTCAGCTGAGAGGAGTTGGGGTGCTTTCCCTTCCTTTGATGAAGCTCTCTCTCCTTCCCTCCTGCTGAATTATTCCATGGAGGAAGGGCCATCCCTGTGTCCTGCTGTGCCTCGGCTCAACAGCATCCCCCACTTCACCCACTCCAAAACAGCCCCAAAGCCCCTGGGAGCTGGCCCAGCACTCCCTGAGAGCCACAAACAAACCAGATCTTGCTGTAACTTTTCTTTGGTTTGTTTTTTTTTTCTTTTTTCTAAGAAAGGCCTTGAAAGGGTTTTAGAGTTACCATTAATCACCCTGCATTTGCAGGGGGGATTTCAAAAGTCAAATGCCATGAAAAGAGGAGTAAAATACCGTCATTGATATTGCAATTAGGGGGGAAAATGCAGGATTTTTTTCTAGCAGTGATGTTTCCCTCAGATCTTTGCCAGGTCATGGCTCACCCTGGCAGTGAGGGAAAAACTTGTCCTCAAATCCCAGAGTCCCTGAGGCTGGAAAAGCCCTCCAGGATCATCGAGTCCACCCCGTGCCCATCCCCACCTTGTCCAGAGCACTCAGAATCCTCCAGGAATTGCTGGGACACTCCAGGGATGGGGATCCAACCCTCCCTGGGCACTTCCAGTGTTCCTGCTCCAAAACCCATCATCATCATCACCATCATCATCATCATCACCATCATTACCTGGCAGCAGTCCTGCTGCACCAGGAGCTCCCAAAGTCTCTTGGAAGGAGCTCAGTGCCTGCATCCAGCCCAGCTGATGGCTTTAAGCAGAATTCTCCGGATTTTTAAGAAGGATTCTCAGCATCTTTAAGCTCTGATGCCTTTAAGTAGAATTTTCAGTATTTTTAAGTCGGATTCTCTTCATCTTTAAGCTCTGAGTCTTTAGGCAGAATTTTCACTGGTTTTAAGCAGGATTCTCTGCATTTTTAAGCCCCGGGACTCGAAGCAGAATTCGTTGTCCCTTCCTTTGACCTCAGCTGCAGAGGGAGCCTGAGGGTGCCATTGTCACCCTCACCGCCCTTCTGACCGCAGACAGATGTTCCAGCTGTTGCTCGGTGTTTACTGAAATCTTTTGTGCTTTACAACCTCGGCAATGGCCCGAGGGGACCTGGCACCTCCTCCTGGGCTTCTGTGAGCTCGGCTCAAACCTGAGTCCCCAAACGACCCCAGAGACCCCGAAGGTGCAGAGACATCGTGGAGAAAGGATTCTGGTGATGATGAGTATTGAACAGGAGGATTTGTGGGAAACTTCCAGCCCATGTGGAATAAAAGACTCCTTTTCTCAACCTGAGCCTTTGTTTGTGTTTAGAGTTCCTAAAAAAATCCAACCACGGGGGTGTCCCTGCAAAGGGAGACACGGGGATAAAGGGAAATACAGGGAAACACAGGGAAACACAGGGAAACACAGGGATAAAGGGAAATATAGGAAAATACAGGGAAACACAACACAGGGATAAAGGGAAAAACAGGGATATCCCTGTTCAGGGAAACACAACACAGGGATATTCCTGCAAAAAGAAACACGGGAATAAAGGAAAATACAGGAAAATACAGGGATAAAGGAAAGTACAGGAAAATATAGGGAAACACAACACAGGGATAAAGGGAAATACAGGGAAACACAGGGATAAAGGGAAACAGGGATATCCCTGAACAGGAAACAAGGGATATTCCTGCAAAAAGAAACACAGGGATAAAGGGAAATACAGGGATATTCCTGCAAAAAGAAACACAGGGATAAAGGGAAATATAGGGATAAAGGGAAATACAGGGATATCCCTGAACAGGGAAACACAGGGATAAAGGGAAAGAGGGATATCCCTACACAGGGAAACACAGGGATATTCCTGCAAAAAGAAACCCAGGGATAAAGGGAAATAGAGGAAAATACAGGGATAAAGGGAAATACAGGGATGTCCCTGCAAAAAGAAACCCAGGGATAAAGGGAAATAGAGGAAAATACAGGGATAAAGGGAAATACAGGGATGTCCCTGCAAA